CCCCCCCCCCCCCCCCAACCTCACAGCACCATCCCTCAGCTCCCTTGTTAACAGCTGACAGTATGGTGCAATAAAAAGGTCAACTGCCACCTACACAAGGACATTCTTGGCTTTTGTGGAATATTTGACATTTTTGTTTGCTATCATATAATAAGCGGTCAGTTGACTTTTTCTGACTAGTCAGTTGATTGGCTTGCCAACCCTACTTTGTAGCGCTACATATGAACACCTGTCCTTCCCCTTTGTCTTTTGATGGCTCTGTAATGCTGTAATATTCTGCATTGACAAATCTTTTGCTAGTGAAGTGTCCAGGAATAGATTTAAGGATACAAGTTAATGATATGTTTATCAATAAATCCGAACTTTCTTGGAAGTCTAGCTGAATAACTGTCATATTTGCTTTATAGAAATTACGAAGCACACAGCAAAGTGCAACACAAGAAATATGCCAAATGCAAATATGATTTTGTGGCAAGAAACAACAGTGAGCTTTCTGTCTTGAAGGATGATATCTTAGAGGTAATGTATTAAACAAAAATGCGAAATATCAGATACGTCTTGGAATGGATAGTGTCCTCTCTGTGGGCTTTGTAGGGGCTTGGGATAATAATTGGTCCAAATTTCTTTATACCAGCAAATTTCTTAAGCTTAAATATGGAAGTTTAAGTTCTGTTTTTAGAGATTTTGCAGAGATTAGGTTGACTGGTCATTAGTAATTTGATGGGATCACATAACTTTCTTCAACACTAGTTTGTAATTAGTAGGTGTACAACAAAAGTGCTTAAGACCCTGTCAGTCTCTGTAGTGTACCCACAACCAGTGAAAGAGCCCCTGTGCTGAAGAATTTGGAGTCTCTAAAAAGACGAGAAGCATGGGTTGGGACAACATAAAGATGAAATATCTAAGGTCCTGTTTTGCAGGGTCCTTACCAGAGTTTGAACTTGAGCCTCTTGACTACCCACCCAGTTCTCTCTTCAGCAGGCAATGTGGTCTTCCTAACTGTTGTACCTTCAGAAATTGTCATGATTTTTTCTTAGTTTGTCTTTTGGCCATCAGTTAGCATTCATATATGCAGTTTCAGTTTTAGTCCGTATGTGTGAGGTGTCCCCAGCAAATGTGGAATAACCTGTTTAAACACATCTGTAAATCCATGAGACTCCTATTTTCCATCCCTCTCAGATCTTGTCCACTATTGAGAAACAAAAAGAAGTGGTAGGTGCTTGCATATTATTTTAAAAGTGTTACACATATACACACACAGACAAGTCCTTGACTGAAAGCTCTAAACAGTACTTCACATAAAAATTGATGATGATGATGATGGAGATGTGCTACAGTAGTCCCTTAGAGACATTAGTAAAAGCTCTGGCTGGGCACTATAATCAATTACAGTGTTTCTAAAGCATTTAGCTATCGACTGACTGCATTGGAAGCACTGAATTTCTGTACTCGGAGGGGCCTTTTCTGTTGCCTCCAGGGGGGATTAAAATAATTCTTTTATATGAATTGAGCGTGGAGGGATAATATAGTTAAGCATAGCATAAGAGGCAACCTAGCACAAGTTCCCCAACTGGCTGTGAATAATCCGAGCTCTCCATATTCCGCAAATAAAATCACTACAGAGCCAAATAAAATTAACAAGGTAAGGGAAAAGTCTTCAATATGAGTCAGAAGGACACCATACATGAGGAGTTATGTGGAAGAAAGCAGCAAATATTATTAAAAGTATACTTCCCCCATTCAGTTTTACTTGTAGAATATCTTTTAATAGCCTGTTTCGCTATACAGTTACTAAGCAAGTACATGCACTACTTAACAAGGGATATTTAATGACAGCCAGCAGCTGCTTTCCATTTACCTATTCTACTAATTGGAGGAAAAATAAGCTGATATTTGTTTAATAGGTTTTACTATGCACATTGAGGTCTCTGTAGACTGGACCATACTTGTAATGGCAATAAAATGTTTGTGCCTTCAGTCCAGTACGTATAATCAGTCAAATCAAAAATTATATAGAGAGCACTTGAGATGGGAAGGGCGTGAAGGAGCTAAACTGAACTGAAAGTTGGTGGATGGGAACCTGGGGATGATAGGGCATTGCTGCAACCTGTACAATACAAGCCAAAAAATAAGCACAAGATACATGCATCCAGTCAAGGCAGCTAGGATCTGGAACCAACTTCCAAGGGAAGTGGTGCTTGCTTCTACCCTGGAGGCCTTCAAAAAGAGGCTGGACAATCACCTAGCAGGGGTTGTTTGACGCCAGCACTCTTTCCCGCCCAGGGCAGGGAGTCGGACTTGATGATCTGCTCCAGGTCCCTTTCAACCCTACCAACTATGAAACTATGCATCATTCAGCATTTTAACTGAATTAATTAAATGATTGCAGATCCTGGATGACAGAAAACAGTGGTGGAAAGTTCAGAATAAAAGTGGTGCTTCAGGGTTCGTGCCAAACAATATCTTGGACCTATTGAGATCTCAGGAACCTGGTTTGGGACGTTCTGAACCTGCATATACTCACACTATACAGGTATTTGTCATTGTTCAGACTTAATTTGTATTTTTAATGCTGGAGGAAGAAAGAATGATTCAGAGATACAACTTCAAAAGATTTCTTTTGTTTTGACTGAGTTGAATTTAGTTTCTGTGTTGCTGAGTCTGAAATAACAATGAAAACTGCAGAATTGATCATGTCACAATCTTTTCTCTGAGGGTTCTGTTCTGCTTGTTACTTGATAGACTTGGCATGAATGTAGTCTAATATAAGCTGTGGATTTATTTTAATCATGAATACCCATCATATATTGATAGCTGTTGATGCCAAAGAAGGAGTTTGAATTATTTAAGGTATGGTTAATTTAATTTCTTCTAGGACAGTGAACTTTAGTTTCTCCTTTAGTTTCTGTTCTTTGTGTGTTTTTGTCTGTGTGAAGATATATATTAGTCTCTACTATCTCACATTTTTTAAGTTTGTAAATATATAGGTGTAGAAACCTCTGTATGGTATTGTGGCTTCAATAGATTTATGTGTTTGCTATTTGAGTTCGTGGAAAAACTTTCTCCATCACAGCCTCAGTACGCTGACAAAAAAATCTAAGTTTTTGGCCTGCCTTTTTTTTTTTAATGGAATACTGTTTGGAAACAAAGTATTTTATCCATTGATTACGTGCCCAGAGCACAGTTAAAGAGCCTATCCTGCAGTTACAAAATATAAGGGTTCTTTTTGTCCAGGTATGATGTTCAGGCGGATCAGGATGTTTAGGATCAGAACATAAAGTATATTTTAATACCGTCATAGGAGGCCAAAGGCTCATGTGTACCTGTCTTCTAAGAGCATGTTTTGTTTCTTGTTTTCTCTTGTGCCATGTTGCTTCTAGAGATGGGCGAGCCAGTTTGGGTGAAGCGGAATTTCAGAATGTATGCTTGAACCGTCATCCAAAAGCAACAGAAACCTCAAATAATTTTTTCTCTGATTAATCTTGTTTTCTATTATTCACTCTCTTATGCTCTTACATTTCTGGTTTTGAGTCAGGAGTTGAAGTGCCCATCTGCTTTAATTAAGTACTTGTATTGCAGAGACAGCTGAATCACAGATACGATTGCCAGGCACTGTATACACAAATAAGATGAAAGATGAACTTTTACGTCATTTCTAGCCTAAAAGCCCTTAAAAAACTAGTCTTGCTAGGATGTCCAGTCCCGGTTCCAAAGACCTGTCAAGTTCTGATGTAGTAGATTGGATAAGCTTCTAAAAGACTGAGACTTTACTCTTCAATTTGTGGGCACATTGAATGTCCTTTTAAACCATTTCCTTGAGCAGCTCTGGACTTGTAGACACTGCTTTGAATAAGGTTTGCATATTACTAGCTGTTTTCAAGTAACATTTCAGCTCTTTCTCTCAATAAATTCTGGTTTTTATCTCTGTGTGGTGTTAAGCATGTTGCTGGAGTGGTTTTAATGATCTGGGTTTTTTTTCCTAGCTGCATGTAGCTCGTGTTTGTCTGGCACTATTTACCAAAAACTATTTGGTATGTTATAGTGGTATATTTTTTTTAATAGAACATCTTAAAGTCATTTGCTAAATATGGCCACAGGTTTTGGAGGCTTTTTCCTTAGAATAAAGAAAAAGAAAAGAACAGAATATGTTCTTTTTGCTTTTTGTAACAAAACACTTCCCTCAGAACCCTGGAAATTAGTGAACAAGAATGACCTTCTAATGACAGTGTAGTACAGGTGTAGGCAACATTTTTTGGCCAGAGTGCCAAAAAACCCACAATGTCTACCTTGGAAGGTGCTGGACTGCCCACATGCCAGAGCCCGGAGCAGCTGTTTGCAGCCTGGCCCACGGAGCGCCGTCTGCTTGCAGCAGGGCTTGCAGCCTCCCAGCTGCCTGCTGGGAGCAACCTGGGCTCCGTGGCTGGAAGCAGCTGCTTAGAGCCCAGGCTGGCGGTGATGTGCCAAGCAAAATGGCCTCGCATGCCATGCTTGGCACGCATGCTGGGGGTTGCTGACCCCTGGCGTAGTACTTTCGTCGTCTTGCCAGTATTCTGCCTAGCAGAGACATTCCTATGTGTGGCATGCAGTACTTGCCTTATGCTATTTTAAAAGTGAAATTTCAGAAGGAATTTTCTCATCTTCACCCAAATTATTTCTTTCCCTAGCAGTACAGCCTAATAGAAAATAATGCAGAAACTATTTTTCCCAGGCAGATGTAGTATGTACTTTGCCCATTTCTTGTTAACTTTGATCATGTTAGAATAAAATTTGAATGACATAGTTCCCATGTTCATGTTCTGAAGCAAATTCAACTTAGAAGTACCATAATTAATAACATTAGGACAAAATCCCCCATGAGATTCACTGTATTGTCAATGGTATATTATGAATACTGTGTAGATGGGGAAAGTCTTCACCAAAAATTGTCATATTTTACTTGGTTAATACTATAATTCTAGTGCTTCTGAACCTATTTATCTATCTGCCTTGGGTACTGTGATAGCCTTAGTGTCTGGCCATTAAGACGCTTGTTTTGTGGGGTGGGCCCTAAATGAGGTGGTGGTACATGTGTGCACACACATGCACACACACACGATAGAGAGATTTTAAAAATCTTTAATATATTCATTTTTGTAACAACCTTATATGGTAGGAAAATTCTTCTGCTACCATTTTAGACAACTAAAATGGAAACACTGGAACTAAACCCCAGGTTAGCACCATAGCCTTCTTTTCCAATATCTGACCATAAGTGGAGTTGGCAGTGGCCATAGTACAACCACAAGTGCACACAAGTGCACAAGTAGACTCCTCCAGGCTTTCAAATAATAGTTCTTTTTCAGCATTAAAGTTTAGGGTCCTCTTCAGGGCATTCTGCCAATTATAAAAAAGCTATGGTCTATTGTTATGATGTTGATGTTTATTTGTCCATTCAACCAAAATATTTCTTTTGAAGTAGTACTGCATGGCAGAGGTGATTAGAAAGAAAAAAAAATCACTTCCTGTTGCCAAAGAGTTGAAATAAATGCTGAAAATGGTCAAATTCCTTGCTCTAGGGACTATTCTCTAGACTTAAGCCCTCTCCTTGAGAGCTGAGAAGCTACTGCATTAATCATTGTACTTGCATACTTTTTTCAGGGCAGGCAGAGAATACCCAGCCTACCTTCTGCTGCATTCTCTCCACTTGTAACCCTTCTGAGTATACAGACTGGATTAGCTTTTGGTTTCAACTCTTAAACCATTTAATGGAGTGGGCGCTAGTTCAGGAGTTGGCAGTGTTTGATGGTGGCATGCTGGAATGACCCAGCTGAGGTCTAAGGCAAGCTTGCACTAGGACCTGGCTGCTGCCACCATCACTTTTCCCTGCCACCCAGCCACAGTGCAATGCAAACCAAGCAGAGTGCTGCCGAAGCCCTCCCTCTGTGGGCCAGCTGTACAGATGAGCCACCTGTCCTCTAGGTTGTCAGTTTGGATGGAGTCCTTTTGCTGTTAAAGGTGGTAGCTGCAGCAAGAGAGACACCATCCACTCTATTAGTGCAACTCTAAGGCGCTGGAATTCTTTTCTCATTGGAAATGACAGTGGAATCAGTCCTAGTAAACAGGCTTAAAATAAAAGCATTTTTTCTTTATATCTTTATCTGGGTCTATTGATGCCAATTTTTGGTTAAATGCTAATAATAGCCTGTTGTCTAAGTTTCCCGTGGTCTTAGCTTTTTAACCTGCCTTTGTTTTGAAGCTGTGAAGGGCTTTTTGATTGCTATCATACATTATGAATATTAATAGCTCATCATACAAGCTAATTATTTCCCCTTTCTTAGTATGAAGAGTTCTAGTGGAAATGTACGCTATGCATACATTACTTCGTATTTATTTTATATTTTCTTATTTGTTTCAACATTTTTAAAGCAAAACTGAGATGTGAAAGAAGACAAAGGTGTGTCCTGATAGATAAAGAAGAATTTATCCTCCATAAATCTGAGTGAGGTAGAGTAATAGTATGCCTACTTTTCAGCGGAGAAGCTGAGACAGTGTGACACTTTCAAAAGGGCCAAAGATCCATTTTAACAGGTTTTCAGACATTTAGAGGCAGAATCCTCAGTTGGATTCCTGGAAGTCAATTGGTCTAAAGGTACATAATTATGCTAGTCATTTGTGAAAATAGGGGTTGTGTCCAATTGACTTGAAGCCTCTGAAAAGTTTTCCTTATTTTAAAATTACCTTGATGACCTTCTAACACAAGTTGTTTCAAACTCTTATCAGTCATTCTGAGAACTGTAACAACAAAGATGTGCAGCCTTTTTGTGATGGCACGCAAGCAGCAAGATAGAATTCCATTTACCAACTGGGGGGAGGAGGGTCCATGTCTCGTCTGCTCTTCAGAATCTCCAAGGGAACATCCCATTCAAATCTTTTCATTAAGCCCCATGCTCAAAATCTCTCTCAGAGATGTGACTTGCTGTTTCCACTGAGAGTTTGTGTCCAAAATTAATGTGTCTTCCAGATGCTTTAGATAACAACATTCTCATCTACTGCCAGCTGGTATGAACTGCTGATTATGAAGTATGCTTGTGGTGAAGCAGCACCTTTGCCAGGTGCCCATTTCATGGTTGCCAAAGAGTTATCAGAATTTTTATCCAGAAACCAGAATCCTTTTACCTTTTCATAATTAGCACTAAAATTGTCATCCAAGAGACTCTTAGTGCTTGAGAAGGTACCATATTTGCATCCGACTCTGTACTGCTCCAGTCCTGAATTATTATTTGTGGGCATTTGGCTAACGGAAGTGTTGTTGTCTATATGTCAAGACATGCTGGTCGCTGATGATGGTCAAAATTCCCAATTGGTACTTTTTTGTGAGAAATGAGGAATTAATCCTGACAATCCTGGCTAGTTTCAGTTTGATTAATTAAATTTTCTAACTTTCCTTCCAGAGCCAGCTGTCTACAGTTTTCATTTTCTGCCTATTTGTTATGTGGTGCTGCTTGGTAGCGTGAAAAGGATTGCTGTCTATCACTTCAAAAGTACATAGTAATCTGTGGGGGCCCAAAGTGTGTGTGTGTGTGTTTAGACATAGACACACACCTTCTATTCTTCACAGATGGATGCATCTGAACAATAAAGTCAGCTCTGTGAAGCATTAGCAGATCGATTGAAGCCGTGTGAGAGCAAGACTGTTATTGCAAATAATCTGTCTCTAAAACAAAATGCTACTTTGAGGGTTTTTCTCGTAACTGCCCTAACAGAGTAGTGTGTGCTGATATCCATTTTGCACTTGCCTTTACCTTTCCTAGTTTTGTTCTTGGCTCTTTTCACTGTGTACAGCCTTAAAGATTTTGTGTTCCAGTAGTTCAGTTGATTTCCTTGTAGTTGAATATAGTAGGCTTGTACAAAATAGGGTTCCTGCTTTGAAAGTTTTTCTGTTTCCGGTTCATGATTTGCATTGATTCTCCTTAGCTACTTCTGTTGGCATTGAGGCATTTCCTTTCACCATTCTGTGCCCTATGCCACTGTTCAAGAAACAGCTGGTGCCATCCCACTGCTGCTGGTTATCTTTGACAGCCTGACCTAGTTACTGTTATGTAATTTGGATTGTGTCGGTGCCCAGGGAAGTGTATCACAGGGCTGTTCTACACACAGGTTTTGTTACTGCTTACATTATATTAGTTTGAACCCAGTAAAGTTAAAGTGGTACACCTCCTGTTGTGAATATGTTTTATACTGATATACCTTAAGGCTTGCCTGTATGGAGGAAATTTACTGGCTTATCTATACCACTATAGTAATACTAATATGATATCCCTATAGACAGTTAATGTCACCAAACGGTTGTGTTTGTTTTTTAAACTTCTGATGTGGTTGACATTTTGACAGCATATTAACATTTTCATTTGATGTGATTTACTCCATTTTCCTCACAGCAATTACTGGGAGAGCTTGCAGAGGTAACATAAATTGCTATTATCTGACATTGACTTACTGAAGTGTCTTTTTGTAGGCTGAATCTTTTGGGCTGCAGTTTCCAAGATGTGCTATGTTTGTTCCTTTCATAATGCTGATGACCTAGGGACTCCAAAATATTTTGAGTTTAAACAAAGTTGGAAGGCATTAATGCACAGCCACATGCATGTTGTAGCATGTTTCTGCCTGGTACTATCTCAAAATGCAGAACATGACTTATTTTCCATGTGATGTTTTAGTTCTTTCCAAATATCAGGCTGATAGTACATCTTTCTGTGGGCCTTGTGCTTCTAGCATAGCCCATTTAATGGTTAAGTTATCCAGTGTTGATATAAGAGCTGCTCACAGTATTTAGCTATGTTTACACTGAGATGAAAGAATTGACTGCGGTAATGATGCACAGGCAATGTTTGCTTTTTAATAAACATCATCAAAGCAGCAATGTTTTTCCTTGTGCCATGTGAAAATAAAATGGGCATAGCAATTTAGCATTTTTGAGTCGGTGAGCTTGATTTAATTATTTAATTAAAAACATTTTACTCTAATATTTATGAACCACTTATATTGACTAACTTGACTGAAGATGTATTAATTTGGCACTTTGCTCCCAGCAGCTTTCTAGGATGCACATTATTCTGCTTGTTTTATTTAATACTCAGTTTCTGCTCTTTTTGTTACATACTTGACAGTAAGAATTGTCCCAGAAAATGTACTACAGAAAATAACAACCATGAGAATTACATGTCAATGAATGCCAATAACCTCCTCATAATAGATTGCATGTCCTGTACAAAAAATAATTGAGACACAATGTACTAAACTACCAAACATTTTTTTAGGGGGATCATATTTAGAAAGATATGTTATTTCCATAACTGGTCATTATAAATACTGAAAAACAGCTTCCTCCTCTCCCGCCAAAAAGCATTTTTTCAATTTACACTTTGCCCTGAAACCTGTAGGACAGAGCTTGACCTGTTGTAAATCAGTGTGGCTCTGCTAGAGCCAGGCCAGTTTACCTTGGCTGAGCACCTGGCTGGGTATATTTTGTGGTTAAATCTTTCAAGTTTGAGATTTGCATGTGGGGAATTTGCTTAAGATTAATGAGAGGTTGACTGTTGTTAAGGCACTGATGTGTTGCTAATATAGTAACATATGGCTTCCACAAGTACTTTCCTATGTGTCGTAAGTGCCGTGCCCCTGAGGGAACAGATGTGGGTATTTCAGGAAGGAAAAGTGAAGCCTGGGAAATCAACTCACTTGTTTTGATACTACAAATAAGATGGCACCTTGTAACTGCACAGGGGGAACATCAGTGTTATGCAAATAAACTTGATATAGAATTAAAATAATTAATACTTTAGTCCTACTAACTAAGAGTATGTAAGTGGAATAGTGGAGTGCTGAGGTTGTAGAATTGGAAGGGAAAAAATAATGAAAATCCAGGACTTCGCTTTTCTGGAAAACCCTTTTAGGAAATTCTTGCTATTTGGTGCTGGGAAGAGGGGTGAACTTAGAGAAGCATTGAAATTGTCCTAACCTAATCCAACAGCTTGCCAGAATTTTAAGACCATCCCAACAGGAGCATCATTATGATAAGACATTGAAATAAAAGAGAAAAGAAAACAATAAAAATCAAGAATGAATAGAGCAGGTTTAAATTTCTTACGTCTAGTTTCTCTCACATTGCCACCTAATCTCTTGCTCCAGTTTTTGTGCCCATCAGTCTCAAGGTATGGAATAAAAGTGGACAAGGTAAAGCCATGAGATAGTGGCCCATAGGCATGCCCCTACTTGGCAGTAGATGAAAACTAAATCACAGTAGTTTAGCTCTTTCATTGAGGGCTATGTTACTGTGGATTAACTTCTATTTATGGTGTGACAATATATGTACCCAGGCCATTACCACAGAGCAACTTGTGCTTGGTGGAAAGCCCTGCCCCATTTTACATTATGGTACATAATCCATCTGACTGTTCCTTCAATTAAAACAAATGTGCACATTGCATACCATTTTGTATTTACACGTGTTTTAAGGAGGCTGATCTGAGCTGCAGAGTTTAGCTCTGGACCCAGACTTCTTCCAAATTTGAGAATTATTAGATATCTTTCCAAAATAAATAGATACTAATCAAAAGAGGTTGAGCCTAATTCAGGAATCACTGGGCAAAATATTTTGGCTGTTTTTCTTTAGCAGGACAGATATGATTACTATAGCAGTCCTTTTCAGCTTTAAGATCTATGAGCTTGGGTTTGGCCTATTATAGTCATCTGCGAAGAGCCAGTGACATTCAAAGGCAAGAGTTCTTGAGACTCAGGGGGGGGTCTAAGATTTTTGTTTGCTTGCTTGTTTAACATACTTAGTATATGTGCTTTATTCTAATAAAGTCCAGATTTTCTAATGTCTTAGAGGCTGGTCAGAAACTCCAGATAATAGAAGTTTTGAATTTAAGAAAAAATTAGTTGTGTATAAATCTCATACCTAGAGGAAATAAATGAATTTTGGGGTGATCTGATATTAAGCTGAAGCTGAGTTTACAGTAAGGAATTTGACAGAGAGAAGCAGATCAACATGGACCATATTGATGCCAACATAAGACTGGCAAACTACAAAAATGTTGTTGATAAGTAATATTGCTCTTGGGAATGAAATAAGAGCTCTACTTGCAGAACATCATGGGAAGTGGGGGGAATTCTCTGCAGAAGGTCAGAATTATAGATACTGTGTGAACTCATGAACAATGTTGTGTGCAAAACTAATGGTCTGTTTTAATTTCTTCAGAAACAGAGGGCGGAGTATGGTCCAAAACCATCAGATCCCACTCCTGCTGCTCCATCACCACCTCCAACACCAGCTCCTATTCCTGTTCCTGTCCCTCCCTGTGCACCAGCGCCTATTCCTATACCAGTTCCTGTGCCAAAAGCACCAGGAGCTATCAGTCGCCAAAGCAGCACATCTAGTGACAGTGGTAGTGGCATTATACGGGATAGCCAGAGACACAAACAGCTTTCTGTTGATCGTAAGTATCTTCAAACAGCAAACGAGAGAAATATTCCCCAATTCTGTCCATTTCATGTAACATCTTAATAGTCACGCATTTTCATACAACTATTTGTGAAACATTGGCTTTTACTGTCATATATTTGTAATTGATTTCTGTGCTATTTAATACTAAAATCCCATCTAATCAACCAAATTGAGCAGGGAGTGAGGCAGTTCCATACCTGAATAAGACACTTCTTACATAAAATCTTGACGTAGTTCTGCCCCTGCCCTGAGACAGGCTGTGTCCCCATTCTAGCCTGAGGCGTGGAGCATGGTCCCGTCCCAGCCCAGCCCTGTAGCGGCCCTGTGGGCTATGTGCCACTGCTACAGGGCTGGGCTTGGGAGTGTGCTGAGTGCCCTAGGCTGTTGCATATATAGAGTCTGCCTGCATGGAGCAAAGGTAAGGGGGGAATGAGAGGGGCAGGTGGGGGAGCAAAGAGTGTGGGGGTGAGGGAGATGCAGAGACCTGGTGTTGGGGAGGGTGGCAGGCAGCAGCTGCAGCAGCTATGGGCTCTGACCCCAAGCAGGTGCTGGAGCCATAGCAGCCACCTGCCCTCCCCCTACACTATCTACCACTATTTTAGTAAGATTCATTACCTTCCCTGTAAAGTTTCAGTAGGGATCCCAAACAAGTAACCATTGTACACCTCAAGTATGAGTAGCTGATACAGTGATATTAATGACTTTTCTAAAACACCTCTTGAAATGATGGACGTAAGTGCTACTACCAATCAAATGCAACTACAATACAGCAAACAGAGTGGATAGAAAACCTTATATAAAAACGGTTTTCAACCTAAAAAAATGAGCTTTCAATTCAACAAATTGTTTTTGTGAAAAGCATTCACTTTCTCCATCTTCTCTCTTTTTCAGTCCGTTAAGAAGTAAAAATATTTTGTTTAAAAATACCATAGTTCAGTATCATGACCCTGTGGCCTGGTCTCTTTATATAACTATCTCCTCTACACACAACTTCTTTGCTGCCCCCTTTTGTTTTTTGACTGAAATATTTTTCAGTATTCAGAATTCTAGAATCAGTTTCCCCCTTGTTGAAAATTTAGAATAAAATTACTATATTAACTTGACTATAAGATGACCCCCCAATAATTAGATTCTATGAGGGGTCTAATCTATAATTAGATTATAATCTATAATTCAGATGATAAATTTGTTTTAATTTACCAGATATAGAATCTAATTATTAGAGTTTTGTCTTGAATTTGCGAATCTCCCACTGCTACAGCAGGGAAAATAAATCTGGAGGTCAGGTAGCCCCTTTGCTCTGTGCTTCCCCCCCCCAACTCCTTCTGCCTGCAGTCTCTTCGTCTGTCCTTATTGTCAAACCCTGACAACATGGAAGTGAGGAACGAATTTGAAAGCACTGACTTTGAAATAAACATAGCTATATCAATTTGCATATAGTACCCATAGACTTAGTTTACCTGGAAATGATGAATTTTATCTTTTTTTGAAACTGCTATAAGTTTTAGTGCAGGCACTCTATAAACACACTTGTTAAGTAGCTTTTTAGCACCTACGAACTATGCATGATATTAGTCCAGAGACTGGAGGGATTTTCCATATAGTTCATTGGGCTGGGCCCCACCAAAATCAACAGCATTACAAGCCCGGGTGACCCCACAGCTCAGCACTGGCTCTGTGTGTGTGTGTGTGTGTGTGTGTGTGTGTGTGTGTGTGTGTGTGTGTACATGTACTCCAGCAACCCTCCCCCCCGCCCCAACAAAGGATCCATGTGATAATTAGCTGCCCCCCACCCCACTCATGGCTGGACCTGGGTGTTCTTGTTATAAGTCCTGAGATCCTACAAAAATTGACTTGCAGATGAGGGATAGGGCAACCTGGTCCAGCTTCACCTCATGAAGGATGGGGCCACACTAATCATAGGCAACGGGCTGAGAGAGGAGGCTACAGGTGGATTCTGGGTGAAATGTTTGGAGTCCTGTTTGGCGATGTTTGCCAGACATTTGCTCTCAAATTAAAGCTGGATAGAAACCAGCTATGAAGTTGTTATGCATTTTCGAGAGCTAACTTTGTAGCTGGCTGATTCTTAGTGTAGCTGAATAGACATTTTTATGGCTTGTTAATTACTTTGCATATGTGGCCAGTTTAAATTTATTGCATGATGAACCAGTTAATTGCGTAATATATGTAATGTGTGGCAGAGGCCAAAGAGGCAGGGGGAATGACTTGTACTTTTTCAGATTTCTTAAAAATAAACTCCGACATGTTCAGTTGTTTTTCTTTTCTATCTCTCTGTAGGAAGGAAATCTCAGATGGAAGAGGTACAGGATGAGCTTATTCACAGACTTACAATTGGCCGGAATGCTGCTCAGAAAAAGTTCCACGTGCCACGACCAAACGTACCAATAGTTAATATCACTTATGACTCTTCTCCTGAGGATGTGAAAGTATGGTTACAGTCAAAGGGGTTCAATCCTGTGTAAGTTTGAGGATGAACTGCAAGAAAAAGCTGTTATTTCAGAATTTAAAGGAAAATGGGCTAAGATTTCAAAGATGGGCAACAGTTTTGTCTGCCCAACCTGAGATGATTTGATGCACGTTTTTAAAAAAAACTATTAAAAAGTGTGATCTGTGTTTTTAGGCATGTTTACAGTAATTTTAACCAACAAGGTGATCGCTAACCACTGTCCTACTAAATCATAAAATCCTGATCTAAAATGTTAGAAATGCATTTTACCTAAAATGAGCTAAGTTTTACAGCATGCTGATTTTTTTCTCATCCCAAGTTCTACTTTACTGGGACCAGATGACACCACTTTCAGCATCTCACATAGTCCTGGCAAATATTACTGGATTTGGCCAACTCAATCTCAAGTACCTCATGACATAAAACATATACCTTAATTTGTCATTATATAGGTTGACATGTTCCTGCTTTGTTACTCAACTGCTAGATTTTTGCCTATTTTGCTTTATGTAGAATATTCTGTGCTTATTTTTTGACTCTGTGACTTTTTCAGGACTGTCAATAGCCTGGGAGTATTGACAGGTGCTCAGCTTTTCTCCCTTAATAAAGAGGAACTAAAGAGTGTTTGCCCAGAAGGACCTAGAGTCTACAGCCAAATTACTGTTCAGAAATCTGCATTAGAGGTATGAATAATCCCTCTTAACTCTTCTACTTGTTACCTGTGGCATATCATTGACTTGACGTATTCAAGTCAGCTGGTCCGGATG